TTAGTGATCTGTGGGTTAACTGACTTGCATTATTGGCAAACAATCAATTCCAGGTGTTTGTTCTATTGTCTGATGGAGGAAAAATCGAGGATATTTTACTTCCCTCCTCTTTTTTTTCGTATTTCTTTTTTGTGTATTAAAGTAAGATATTTTTTTTTCTTTTTTAAAGGAAGTTGTCGCTTCAGCAGCAACTTTCTTAATTAATTTTATAATTAATCTTTTAATTTGCATTTGAAGATATCATAATAATCTGAATGATGATTAAAAACATGACCAAAAGAAGTAGACTATTGAGTTGGAAATTGGAAGGAATCGACTTATTTTCCATCTCATTATTGTGATGATTATTATTTAAAATTAAATGCAATGCGGATGTTTTTATTAAAAATATATATTAATAAAAACATCACAAAAACAAGTTAATATATTTCAGTCGTTTCAAAACATGTTTATAAAAACGGGAAAAAAAGATGATGAAGATAAAGTTCAACTACTAATTAAGAGGGATGCTTCGAAATTTTACAAAATTCAATCCACATCCACAAATAGTTATCTTCTGTATTTTCAAAATTTATATTTAAAAAATTCATTTAATTTCCAGATCCTTAATATATTTTATTATTAAAACTATAACAGTAATATTCTCCTGAATATTTTATTAGTTTTCCTCCAAAATATCCAATATATCGATAGAATTGACAACATATTGCATATGTTATAAATTATTCTAATGAACCAGCAATGAGTTGCTCAACTTTCCCGGAAACATTTTGGTGGCGCCATCTGTTATCATATTTTATTTAAATTTTTTAAATATCTATTTAACTATTATAAAATGGCAAAAAAAAACTTAATTTTGAGGGTATAGATGTGTTTTATAAAATATTATAAATGTTGATAACGAGTAAAATCGTCGTTAAGTTCGACCCTACTGGAGATACACACGACTCCCATTATCTCCCCATCCCCTTGTCCTTTAACCACCAAAACTTAGTAGTATCAATCTTCCTAATAAACAAACCTCTCTTCAAAATTTCAGAAATTTTCGACAAAAAGCACAGGAGTTATTAAACTTTAAAGAGGGTGAACAAAATCGTGCCCCCCTGCACACACACAGAAATTACCCCCGAATTTTTTTTTTGCATTCCTCTACGTTTCAAGGTGTCCTAATTCCAAATTGGGGGGGTCATTTTTTTTAATTTAGTAATGATTAATGCATTTATAAACAGAATAATATAAAATTCAATAATAAAATATCTTACATTAAAGTAGGTAATAACCGTTTTGATATGCATATTATTATTTATATAAATTTATATATATTTCCATATATATTTTGTTCTTGTCTATTTACATTCTATACGTTGCATTATCCAAATTACAATATTTCACCGACCAATAAAAATTGCAAGCATCACTACTAAGATGGAGATCAATATCAAAATTTAGTTTGAAACACTTAAAAAAATTAAAAGATAATCTAATATATATTACTATGATTTTAATTAGAAAAACACGTAATTATCTTATCCGTTTCTGCCGAAAAACGAAGAAGAAGAAGAAGAAAAAAATATATATATAACGTTTCAGCCATTAATTCACGGTTGATGCATTAAATATTTAAATCCGGAGTTACCGTTTTTGAGGTGATCAATTTTTGCGAGAGCAGAAGGAAGATCGTCATCCGATCACGTGATGTCGTAGTAAAAGTATCTGGAAGGTTGCCAAAATCTTCTACACACTAGAGACTTATTTAAACGGATTTAAAAGCAGACATTTTAAAAGCAGAGATGTAGAGAGAACAATGATGGACATCAAAGAACATAGAGGGAAAAGGTGCTATTTTGGTCCATATTTATGACCAATATCCTCCGGAGAAAGTAGAGGACGAATCTTGCCAAAGTAATAAACGAGAATGATCCTCCTCCTCCTCCTCCTCCTCTTCTTCTGGCCTCACACAACTATTTTGCAAATCTAGTTACTAACAGCTATTATATGATAGAGATTTTTCGATTTTTCTCAACATTAATTACTAAAATTAAAATTACTTAAAAGTCTGGCATCTATTAGTAATTTTCCACACAAAATTTTCGTTGCCATACAAACTAAATTTACACTTAGTTTTAAGTAAAGGCACGTAGTTACCATGGGAAATATATCAATTCAATTTTAAGCAAATCCCATAATCCTGAAGGAGTTATAAATTTGCTAAAACCCAATGAAAATGGGAATAAGAGATGCTTTTCTACGATTAAATTCCTCAGAGTCTGATATGTAAATCAGATAACAGACAGAACTTACCTTAGTAAAAATGATTAAAAACAAAACCCGAAGTGTTTTAACAAACTTAGAAAATCTCTTTATTCTTTTATATATATATATATATATATACTTATATGAAACGTGAATAAAAATCCTATATTGCTAAGTCATTTATTTTTTATGTCCTTTAATGCGGTCAACGTTTGATAGATATTAGAAAACAAGCGAAGCGAACTAAAAGAGATTTCTTTGCCATTCCAGTGATTCTTTTATAAAGTAATATCTTGTTTACAGAAAATGAAAGATTTTTACACAGAATTTCAACTAAAACTGATGCAGTAAATTCGATAGATGAGTTTGGTTGATGATGTAAAATATTAAATCACTAAATTACATCACTGACTTGTCTTTCGATGATTTAATTAAAGATGTTCGACTGAATGAAATCTGTGTACAGAATCAATTCTCACATTGCAATATTCTCTCCCACAATTAATTTTAATTGAAATTACTCGGTGTTTACTGTGTTGAGCGTGTGTTTACCAATGTACAAATCTTATCCTTTTTATTTTATTTTAATTTTGTATTTAAAAAAAAATAAAAAAAAGTAAAGAAAATCGACGAAGTAAACTTCAGCTTCTAAGGGATTTTGAAGATAAATAACATTTTCTTTCGCCAAAAAATATTATAAAACTTTTATCAATTAGTTTAAACAAGTCTATTTTTAATCTTGAATTATCATGCAAATTCACTTTCAATTCTTTTTTGTTGATATTTAATATAGATATTACTTCTTACATAATTAAATTATAATATTTAATAATTTTACTATCAAAAGTATGATTTTATAATTAAAAAAAACACAGTCTAAAATCTATTTCCTAAGAAAAGTTTTATTTAAATTTACTATTTTATTATATTAAATTTATTTTCTTAATTATAATTTATGTTTATTTTTTATTATCATCTGTTATGGTAATAAAAGAATTTCTATGTATTTTAAATTCAAATAATTTAAAATTTTAAAATATAAAGTAATATTATTTATTTTTTAGACAAACAAGATTTTGATCAGAATTCCTAGAAACAAACTAAGATATTCTAAAAAAAAAGAATAGAAGCTGTAGTATATATTTTTGATTTAAATAAACAATATACTTTTAAATTTTTCCATATTTATGCATATGACCTCGATTTTACAGTCATTACTTTTCTTATCACAATTTTTCTTTCGATACGACTGTAGTAAAATATGAAATAATATTACATCTATATGCATACGACGAGAATATTAAAATATAACTCGTAAACACAGTCCATTCTTTTGCAAATAAATAAGAAAAAAAAAATCATCCCATAAACTGTTTAACTGGCCGATAACTCTATATTATTAGTGAATCTACAACGAGATATTTCATTGAATTTTATGAAAAAAAAAAAGCATTAGTATTGATTAATTCATATTATATAATATCCCGAGAGCCAAGAATATCCCTGAAAGGGGGGAAGAGTATAGAGAAGAGTGTCATATCTATATTACTTTGTGTCATCCGTTACCATGGTTACCGGGGCATTATGTTGACAGTTTTTGATGAAAGAGACAGGGGCTGAACTTATTAAAATAGATTGTCGCCTTCCCTATTTTACCATATTTTTGATCTTAATGCAAATATGATATTTCAACCTTATTCCAAAAGGCTTTTTCTAGATACTAAAGTAGGGCAGGCATAAATTTGTATCGATAGTATATCAGCAGTGAGCTACTATATGCCATAGGGGATGATATAAAATTACTATTTTAGTAAGAAAATTGCTTTAAAACGATGCGAAGTAAAGAGTACAGCGATTTTATTTATTAATGATAACTTAACTGTAGTAGTCAACTATTTTGAGAATTAGGATTATATAATATAGTTAAAACATTGTTCAATATTTTAGTAGGAAAAGAAGAGGATGGAAGAGAGTAAAAAAAACGAGTTTGATATTCTCCTTAGCTCATCAGAAAACGCAGCTGAAGTACTTAAGCAGTCGACAAGTAATTTAATTAGTGTGTGTGCGACGAGTGGGAGATCTGTAATCCGCAAGAGGACACTCGAACCGTTGGACCGGAATGAAGATCACTGGGATTACAGTTAGACTGCCAAGCTTTCCATTAAGTTTCGGTTACGGTTTATGAGAAATAATACAAGAAACAACCGGCTATATGCATTATTGCATGCTCCACAGCACATAATTCAATTGAGCAGAATCGCCTTTCCATGCGAGCAAAACTCGATTTTTCTGTTCTCAGATTAATAACATTGTTTATAGTTACAAAATTAAATACTAGAATTTAAAAATTTATAAGTTTTTTATCGCTCGTTTTTATCTTTGTTCAGTCGTAAAAAAAAAAAATTGGAGACGTATATAGTACTTCATGTATTAATATTTCAATGACCTTCTTTACCTGTTGAATAATTTTAGCTACGCTGTAGTAAATGATTTAGAAGTTTAGTCTTTTTAACCCCATAATGTTAAATTTGTCGTCGCGATAGAGTCATTATATCTAAATAAGTATTTTGTCACGAAAATAATTGCCATTAGCTGAATAAATGTTGGCCATTTCGGTGTCGTTACACACACATGATGATTATAATATATAGGCTAGATCACAATAGAGATTTGGCAGTCCATCAAAATAATCATTAAGTATATAAATCACCTTATGATAGTCGATTTAGGAAACAAAAGAAACTAACCTTGTAGTACTTTAAGCGTTGCCATGGCTCTTACGGGTTCTCCGACTCCATTTTCTGCCACGCATTCGTAATTCGCTTCGTCCCTATTGTAACGAACAGGTTCTATGCGAAGTACAGAACCATTTGGCATCTCTTGAACGGTGTATCTTTGAGTTGTTACCCTTTTCCCGTTCTTCCTCCATTCGATCTGCGGTTTGGGATTTCCTTCAGCAATACAAACGAAGCTTGCAATTCCACCTGTTGCCACCGTCTGGTCGTGAGGGGCCGTTTCAATCCTTGGTGGATCTAAAATTGGTGAAAGGAGAGAGAGAAAAAAAAAAGAGAAGTGTCAATCAAATGTAAATCTTTTAAAGACCATACAACAATTGTAAATCCCTTCGAAAACCGACGAAAAATTCAATGCCGAGTTAGATCGAAATTGTTTTGCTCTTCCTATTTATAATTAATTTTATTTAATCTCTAAACTTTAAAGTCGTTAACATTTATCTCAGATTTAATAAAATACATTCATTTTACATTCTATTTTAGTGAATTTTTTTTCTTTACTCGAAAGAAACGGAAGGGAGAAAAATTTTAATTGGATATTAAAAAAAAAAATTTTTTTAATTACTTTATTTATTTATGTTCTTAGAAATCTAAATGTAATTTTTAGTTTTATAAATTTTTATTTTTGTAGAAAACGTAGATTTATTTTAATAGAAAATATAAATTATTTAGTAGTTAATTAATTTGATTACTCTTAATCTTTATAGCTAAATATTATCAAATAATTTAAAATTTGATCTCTTCTAAATGTAAATCTTCAATTATATCCACCATTTTTGATTTTTGCAGGCGGTAAATTGAATAAATTATTAATTTATTGCAAATATATTAGAGTTAAATTGACTAAATTTGAATTAGAGAAGGAGGAAATAAATTTCAAGAAGCTAAATTAGGTAAAATAAGATCGTGACAATATTTAATAGCTATTTTGCATAGTGGAATTAAATTTATCTATCTTCTATGGAGAATTTAAAACTCATATTTTATTTATTTATTTATTTATATATTATTATTTTATTTTTTTTCCCTGCAACGGTATCGATGGTTCAGCGAAGTGACAACCAGAATCCAACTTTGTACCAAAATACTAAAAATATTTTTCTCGTTTCTCTAGAGAATTGAATTATTCAACAAAATAAAAGAAAGACGGCCAGCTCTTTTGCTTCTGTCCTTTCTTTCAATTATGCTAATCGTACAAAAAAATAAATAAATAATAAATAAAATATTTTCGACGTGTATTTTGTATTATGCTCGTTTAACAAAGCACTTTTTATAGAATTTTCAATACAAATTTTTTCATTGAAACAACTCAAAGTTTCGATCGTATTTTAAGATTTTTAATATTTAAATACGCATTACACAAATGTACAATTTTCAAATGAAAATCTTATAAATATTTATATATATATTATTACTTATTCAATTTGTTTTTTTTTTTTAATGTTATAACTGAAGAAAGAAGAGGACTTGTATATGTCCAATAGTAAAAAAATAGATTTGTGTCGACTTAACCGATCACGTGAGTTATGTACAGTTTATAAATTCGAACCATGATTTTCTCATAGGATAGATGATGCCGAATTCCTCGTAAATAACCATCAAAACGATATGACGTCACACAGGGACGATACCGAAAAGTTAATAAAGGCATCTTCTGTGATTTCCGGCAGTGCAAACGTGGAATAGCAAAAAGTTTTTTCCTTTGGTAAAGAGAGAAAAAAAAAAGGCGAAAGAAAAGAGGCTTAGTTTATACCGACTTCTGCGTGATTTGACTGAAAGAGTGTGCTCTTTCTCACAAATTTCTCTACCTTCTTTCCTAAAGTTTTCGGAAGATTTCTTTTACACACGTTCTTTCTGTAATGAATCATTAATTTATGATAGATAGAATTTTAAATATAGAAAGTATATAATGCTATTTGAGCGATAGCAGACGAGTAATGACGAATAGACTGTTCATCATTGCGGTAATTGACGTTGAACTGGACGTATATGACGATACGAGACATACGACGAACTTATCTTTCAGTATTTTGTGGAAGATTAGCCCACCTCACCAATCAAATCTTGACAATGACCAAAATGGTTTCGTTAATAGATAAGACTTTCCGCTTTCTGCACAAACTACACGCAGTGACATCAATAAGAACAACACATCGTCACTCCTACCTACCACTAAAGCTAAAAAATTCATAGACATAGGTTAGATAGCGTTAAACACAATTTATATTAGTAGCTGGATCAATTACATGGTTATATACTTATTAGTTAGATCATAGGCTAGATTAGAAACAACGTTTAGATTTAACGTGCTATAAATCTATAAATAGGTAGAGCAAAACAAATTCCTGTCGCGTACAAGAACGACAATTATCTTAAAAGCACAAATTCTGTTATCAAAAACCACAACTAGTGCTGATTTATCTTAATGTATTCTAAATATTTTAGAATATAAATTCGTTATCGGAGGAATGTACAGTATTGTACAAAACGAATACAGCTGTAGAATAAATTTTTGTTATAAAATCTTAGGTGGAAAAGACAGAACGTAGAGAGTTGCAGAAGCAAAAATATAGAAGCAAAACTTGCAATTTATACAGCAAATAATACAAAAAAATATGATTTAAAAAATAAGAAAAAGTGTTTATCATTCGACATCTGACTGTCATCATTTTGACTTCATTCGGTAAGGTTCGAGTTTTGTGTCGCGCGATATTAAAACACGAAAGAAAACTTTCTTTTTTATCGTTTCTGTATACTCGTAACTCTGCCTGAAAGCATCAAAAGTTTTGATAATGGAGAAAGAAATATTGAATAAAAGATTTTAAAATGTTTTATACATACAAACTGTTCGAGTGATTGAAACTAACAAAAACATCATGTTCTCTTTTCGATATTTGCATATCTTGGAATTTTGATATTTTCACGAAAAATAAGTACGAATTCGACGATATACGCAAACTTTATTCATTTCTTTCACTAAAAATTGTTTACATAAAGTAAACAATTTTAGACCTAGAAGAGCGAAAATTGCAAATGTTACTTCCTATATACTACAGGATGCTGCAATTCTCTACATCATTCATTCCGTGCTGTCTAACCTTCTCCGAAACAAAGAACTATCCTTAATATAATTCAAAGAATAATTTACAAATTGTTAAATGTTTATTTTCATAATACACCAATCTATTTACAGGAAGAAATTTCTCCCTTAAATCATCGAAGTTAAGCAAAAATTTAGCCATTGTTTGAATATATAAAGATATATACGCTCCTTTTATAAGAATTTTTTTTTAAATAATACGAGAAGTTAAGCCGTCAATCTTAGTGTTTAAAATTATACAAGTATTATTAGAGATTTTAAAATAACACTAGCGAAAATCTTACACGTGCTGTTTCTTTGTTAAGGATACGAAAGCCAGAAGCACGAAATGCTGAATTTTCAGAAAAATACACGACGTAAGGAGTAAACGAGAGAGGATTTAAGAAGAAACGAAAGCTTTTCTTTTATTTCTAAACTGACCACGAATATGTATTTTATTTTTTTTTCTTTTTAAACGTATCGTTCGACGTTTAAAAATACCAAAAAGGTAATAAAGAATCAGGTGATTTTTATTATAAAAATTTAAATATAGCCTGCACGTTTTACTGATCGAAACCTATCGATCAGACAAGTTGATATTTAACGGTGATTGGAAAAAAAACAGATTCGGTTCTCCATCATCTTTGAAAGTAACCAAGATTGGATTTTACTTTATTAATGCATCAAAAGAAAAATTTTTGTTAAATATATTTTTTTAGTATTAAGTTATGATGATATTAAAACATGCGAAAGAACTATACAGTAGATGATTTATCGATTCATTTTTAGAACAGAGTTATTATAATGGTAGTTTATGAGGTATAAAAATTTTATTCTTTCGGAATTGCTTTAAAAAAAAAATGCACTTAAACGAATGCAAACAAACTTTTATAAGTTGTTTATGAACGAACCAATTTTCTTTATAGGATTAAGGAAAAAATATATATAAAGATCAATAAAAATCTCAGCAAAATATTGATCATTTAAAAGCTATTTTTTTAAATAATTGTTTTCCAATTTTTATTTTATAATTTAGCATCCATTTATTTAATTTCGAGTTATTATTTTAAGAAATTAATAATATATTTTTTTTTATATTATTATTATTATTATTTCTCTAGTTGTAAGTGTATAAGTTATTGGCTTCCATTCCATTTAATCTTGCGTCAAACAGTTTCGATCAGGACCGGTGATCACCATCTCTGACGCCGTAACCCGGGTAAAAGAGTGATAAGGAGTACAATAGCTTTAGCGAATCAAAAATAAATGAACAAAAATCAACGGTTGGAGAATTGACAAATCTTTCTTTGTATCTCTTTCTTTTGGAATTAAGTCGACCGAGGCAAACAAATTTCTTGTTGACCGATCAAGAACTTTTAGTCGTTTCATCGATCGATTTTTATTATTATTTGCTTTTTAATTTTAAAAATTATTTGCAAATTTTAAAATTATTACGTAATATAAGCGCATAAATTATTTATATATTTAAAATTTTATAGTCACATGATTAAAAGATGTTAGCAAGTGACTCCGAGCTATTAAGCTTTCCTTCAATCACACGACTTTGAAATTAAATGTATGGATTTCGTGAACCACGTGACTCGAACTTAAATAAGATTTCTGACACGTGTCTAGGATTTAAATATGTATTCTTTAGTAGAGTGTCTGGCCAGAATGAAAATGAATCTGCTTTTTCTCCCCCCCCTCTCTCTCTCTCTCTTTTTTTTACGTTGCGCCAGACAATAACCCATGATTAAGACTTTTCCCAATAGAAAAAAAGTCTAGTCTTCGACTAAGTTTGAAGAATACCAATATCATTAAGATATAAATGAAAATTCTTAATTAATTTACTTACTGTATTTGAGCTAAACAGTCGAAAAGTTTATTTAATAAAGTAAACAATAGTAGAAAAAGATCAAATGAAATATTTGTGTGATGTGTAGCAGATGTTTTTTCATCCATTATTTTATGGCATTACCAACTCATTTACTGACCCAACGAACACACCATTCTCTATCTGGTGGGTGATAAGAGCGAATGTCACATTGTCGACTACGCCTGGCTGCTCAACTACACTGCCACTTCTGCTTCACAGATTTGTTGTACGCTACTTTGTCATTTACTAAACTTATCTTACTTCTATACTGTAACCGAGAGGAAA